TATATATATATATATTAGTAACACATACACACCTGTTACTATATATATATATATATATATATATATATATATATATATATATATATATATATATATATATATATATATATATATAGTAACAGATGTGTCATTTTGTCCCTGGTGTTTTTACTTTATGGTTCCTGTTGTGTCAAATGTCCTGTTTGCCTTCTCTATGGCAATGTGAGTCTTTTCACCAGGGAATAAGAACAGGCCCTGCCCACACAACAGGTGTAGTCAAACACAACTCAGACACGCCTTGATAGTTTCGATGGTGCGTCAGTGGAAAGTACCATTCAGTCCTATGCAGAAGGGGGACGGGAGTCGCATTTCCTTTCAAGTTTGAATAATCTTGACATAAAACCTTATGCAATCTGTTAATTGTTTTCATTCGTAAGCTTTTCAATCCTATACATAAATGCATGCTGATCTGCACAAATGTAGTCGTGCTTTTCTTCCTACTTTAGTCAAACCTAACCTTTAAACCTGCTGTTTCGTATCTGAATGGTAGCGTCCGAGCATTGAGTCTCCTGTATCAGGTGTGTGTCGGTCAGAGACCGTCTATCTGATCTTTGAGGTTATATGTCCAGCCCAACATCCCAGTGTCACTCATGGCTGTGTACCTGAGACGACTGGGCCAGTCTGGGCGTAACTAGCCCAGTGATAGCATGGCATTGCCTTTTGATTGTTCTAATGAGGAGCACTTTGAGTTTGACTCCTCTTCAGAGATACTGGAAATATCTACCTCATCTTACTTAAGCTCAAACAGTGCTGCTGATGATGAGGATGATGATGGTGAAGATGCAGAGCCGTATACTCTGGAGCAAGGTACAGTACCTGTGCCCTTTGACAGTTTGATCCTTGTAAATGTTTAACGTCAGTGTGCTGTTAAGAGATGGACTGTCAAAGTAACTCAATGGCTTTCAAGAATGTTTTGATCTCAGAATAAGACAATCTAAACAGGTTTTTCCATCCTTGGTTGGTGATGACATACTTAGTTAGGAGTTTTAAAATGTACACATCAGATTCCCCTTCTTATTGGGTTTCTTCTTTTCTCTGCCCAGATCTGATCACTATTTGTAGCCTTCATGTTATTCGACATGAGCGTAAACACTGTCATTTGTGTTAGAACATCTTTATTAGTGTCAGTGCTTTAAGGAAATCAGTGAGTTACTCAGGTTGAATTATTTACTGTAGCTTCATTGTATTAATCATAAAGTCTCAGGAAGAAGTATTAAAATGTGATTTAGCTTTTATTATGACTAATTAAGGTTACATGCTGCTTGGGTTTATTATAAAAGTGCACTGTCCCAGAGCTGTTCATAAGGTTGATCATGTCAACACTGCACAGACGTCCTCATAGTGGCACAACACGCATGCCAGCATGCACTGCACGTACTGTCATTATATAACTATTGTAATGATTGACTGTATCAAACTCATTTTTACTTTTTAGCTTTATGACTGCCGCTTTTAATATCATTAGACAACATTTTATTCAGATTTTTTAAATGTCAATATTAACTTTTTTTTTTTCTTACACTTGTGTAAGGGTTTGTTTATCACTGTACTATCAATCAACAAAATTTCAATCAATAAAATTTATTTCGGTCCTCACACAAATTTTTTTTTTTTTTAAACAAAAAAAAAACAATATATGCATGCATAACAACCGAAAAAGGTGTAGGCTGAAGCATAATTACTATTATTACATAATTACTTTCTGCGTCACTTTTCTCTCTGGATTTAGCCCATTCAAAATAAACGTACATTAAGAACATTTCCAAGATGTTCATACACATCTCAGACATTATTTCAATAGTTAACATATAACGTACACAAATTGATAATATTGAATTATATAATTATTTATCAGCTTGTTTTTATTTTTAATTTTTTTAATTACAGAGTGAATTACACAAACTACATAAACTGATCTGTTAATGTCATTAAAATTGCCTTTGGTGTTGAAAATAATAATAATGATAACTATAATTATTATGATTGTTAGTAATTGACAATAGTGATAAATATCATTAGCACAATATAAATTGTACTAAGTGTAAATAAATGTACTATTTATAAATAGTATATTAATTTATGAAAAACTTGACATTTAAAAATGTCAGGAATTCCTAAGTTATTCTGCTATTTTGTCAGCCATTTTTTTTCCTATTTTATTTATATGTATCTATATGTAATTATAGGCAGTGTTCAATTTTACAGTCACCCCAGATCAACCTGAGGCTGGTGTACACAGACACCCTAATAATAATTACAATAATTATATATATATATATATATATATACACACATTTATAACTCTTTAACTAACAATACATTTATAATGCATTATATACGGTATAGTATACAGGTGCAATTAAAAAGCTGGGAAAGTTTATTTCTGTGTGCAAACTGACTTTTATCGGAGGTTATTTCAGGACAAAGAAAGTCACCTTTATTAACACACTAAACAAGATGTGCAGGAGATTTAATGCCTGGCTGTGTTCTTTGTGTCCAGTTTACACTATGGGAATAATTGTCTCTGTGCATTGGGAGTTGATCTGATGGCAGGTCATTGTGTACGGTTGGTCTGAGTTTGTTGTTCTGTCTGGTGTTGAGCGTCATGATACCGGGGTAATTGAAGTAAATCTCTACATGCTGGTGGATGGAAAAATTAGTTTGAAACACACTGTCCTATGGGAGCTTAGACCAGCAGTTGTTAATAGTCTAACTTGATTTTAGATGAGTGTAAATAAGCCTTGCTAAGCAGATTAATTCCTTGTGATGACCACTGAACCGTGAAAGGTACATAATGTGATCTCCTTCAAATGTGGCGTGAGATATATGGGATATGTGTATATATTAGTATGTTATTATATATATTATTTAGGCTATATATTTTGTTCAGTAAGGTGTTGAGATATATTACTTTTTAGTAATGACAACATGCCATATACATTGTCAGTCAAAAGATTGAAAACCCCTGCTCATTCTTAATTATGACTAATTTTGCATAATGGGAAATGAGACTAAATATTTTATAAATATTATTTACCTTGCTTTATATTAGTTATTTTTTATCACATTGCTTTTTTTTTATTATTATTTTGGGGGTTGAACCTTTATTAAATGCCGATCTGTTAAGGACTTTGTTCTGTATTATTTGTGACCAGGACAACAGTGGTTCTCAAGTTAACCTGAGAATAATATCACTCCAGCAACAACATTTGAGGTTGGGTGGGTTTGTTAGGTTTACCATTGGGCCGTATCCTATTAGCCATTGTTGTCGTGTGACTCACAGTTCTAAGTTTAACCTACAGTATACTGAAAGCTTGTGTAGGTCCTAAATAAATATTGTTAACCATGATCAAATAATAACACTGAAAATGTTCTTTGTTATTATAGAGGTGATTGAAAAAAAAACAGTACGGAGTTGATATATTTGAATGAGTGCTACAGGAATGTTTCTGTGTGGTTTATAGCTGGGTGTTGCTGGCAGGTCAATATCTGTGTGTTGGATTCAGTCTGTGCTCTCTCTCTCTATGCTGTGTGTGACGCAGATGGAAATGTCTGCTTTGCATTTGATTCTTTAACATCACACTTAACTCGAAGAGCTTCTGTAGTTGTGTCGCTTTTGAACCGTTGGAAGCATTATCACGCTGTCTAGTGCCATAGATGGCCTTCCCACCAGCAGTACAGCAATTATGTAAATGTAGTGTTTATCGTGCTAATGAAAGTGTTTCATTGTTAAAAAGCTTCTTCTATTACAGCTTAAATATTATAAATGATAAATATACTATAAATTCACCCATTCCCCTAAAAGTTTTTTTTTTCATTTCAGCCATCCATTTGCGTGAGTTTAGTTTTTTTGTGTGGTTATAGTGGCACAGAAATTAGGCACTGCAGCTTTAAATGTTAAAATTACGCATATATTTGTTTTACAACAAATTATATTGCTCAGTGTTATCTGTAAAATTGTTAATTTTATCTTTGGATCTGATACACTGTATACATTGCATGATAAGATTTTGTTTAATAGGCTGTAAGAATATTATATTGTGGTAATTATGCTTTGCTTCAAACAGACAGGCAGAGAGGATCTACTGGATGCGACCACAATACATCCACTGAGCTTATTTATAAGCTGACCTGTTGATAGTGAGAAAATATGATGGTGATAATAGTTGTGTTTTATCTCCATTGGGATTGGAGATGTTTCCTTGGAGAAGAGATCTATTGTAGCAAAAATTAGATTCTGGAAGAAAATTAGCTAGACCATGTAAACAATATGAACTGTAGAAGAACAAAAACATCTGTTTAATGTTAGTCTCAGAGCATAATGAGATGCATCAAATTAAAAATCATTATTTGATCATTTTATATCACTTTTTTATATCCCTGATTTTGGAATCAATCAAAGAGAATCAGAATCATGTGTCATCCATTGTGTAAAAGAAGCGTGCTTAATTGTATTGAATGTGCACTTGTAGTGTACTTCAAATCTTAAAAGTAAAATAAAAAAACTGTACTTGCAGATAAAATGAATGAAATAAAAGGCCACTTAAGTGTACTTTAAGTATATTCCATGACGGTTTCTTAACACATTTAAGTACACTTTTAAAAAACTGTATGGCAAAAATGTCAAATCAATATTTTTACATTTAAAGTACATTTTAAATCATGTATTACTATTTTGTTGAACTTGAAAGAAGTACACTTATTTTGATGTGTTGTCTAACACACACACACACACACAGAGAGAAATATCAAAAGAAATACAGGGCTCTATTATGATCCCTGACGAGCCCCCATTTTTTTCTAAGTATGCTCAAGTATACTTTTTCACAAGGGAGCATGTAAAAAGCTTGTAGACACCTCGTATGTTACATACTGATACTTGTGTGTTTTAAACACAATGTAGCTTTAACTTAGAAATGTTTACTTTGAGTTTGTCATTTTTCACTTCTCTGTTTCCACAGTTCTATGTGCTGATCGAGTGGGCCAGATGACTAAGACATATAATGACATAGATGCTGTTACACGTCTCCTGGAGGAGGTAAGCTGTGTGAAGTGGGCGTAAAAATATATTTTTTGAAATAGGGTGAAGAGTTTTTTTTAAAGCATGTCTCACATGTGATGTAGGTCTTACAATGTACCAAAATAGTTAATGATTACATAAGTATGATGCAAATCTTGTGTTCCTGCACTGGGTGGTGTTTCCATATGTTTTTGTGAGATTATAATTATTGTGAGCTAGATGTAATATCTGGGATATTAAGGAACTATATTTTAATCCATTTACAGTATATTCAGTTATTTCGGATTCGCTCATGTTCAATTTGGTCGCGCAAATCTAACGAAAATCTGCTTGTTTTAAAAGTGAGTTTTGTCTGAGCTGTGCTTCATACGTCGCTACACTATTGACAATGGACGTATTTTGCCTGCAAAATCTTGCTTACATTTTGCTAATATGACTTGCACCTTAGGAAAGTGTTTAATAGTGTAATGTGAATTAAACAGAAACTTATGCCATCACTCTATATGTCATTCCAGAAAGAGCGTGATTTGGAGTTGGCGGCACGTATTGGCCAGTCTCTGCTGAAAAAGAACAAAACCCTCAGTGAGAGGAATGCCTTCCTGGAGGAGCAGGTGGATCACATACGAGAAGAGGTAAGAGGAGAAAATGGAAAGGTGAAACAAGCCTGCTGGCTAATGTCAACTTTTTTTTCCCTTTGTTTGTTTTTGCTGTTTACAGATGACTGCATCTGTTTTAAGTGAACATAACCATGAATTTAAAACTAATGTGTGTATTGTCTCATCGTTAAAATGCTTCATCCTATTTGAACTATGGAAGACTAAATTTAGTGCCACTTGTGGTGCAGAAATTAAGAAAAATTGTTCTATCAGTACCAGATTAGGGGTTTTCAACTAATAGCAGAACCCTTTGTGGTGTTAAATAGAAACATTTTTAAAAGGTTCCATAAAGAATCATGCTTTGAAAACTAGGGCTGTAGTCAACCAAAGAAATCCTTATAGTCGACCAAAGTCCTGCCCTGCGCAACGATCAGTTGACTAAAAAAAAAAAAAAACGCGATGTTTTGATTTTTAATTGAACATTTATTAAACAATTGTCATAGAACATTTATAAAACAACAACGAAAAAACATAAATAATACATACAACTATAATAATAATACAATTCTTTGAAAATTAAGTGATTTTTTTAACTGCAAAGTGAGGAGATCTGTCCTAGCTCTATAGTGACAGTCACAATCGCGCACCTGACCACACCACACGCTACAAAAAGTATAACTGCTAAAACTGCCAAATAATGAAAAATCCTAACAAAAGCTCTCGTTTATACAGGCTGTATATTCTTCTTTACTTTCAAAGCTATGGGTTAACTTTTGTCCAGCTGATCTAGGCGTTTTAAAACAAACACACAAAAAACCCAAATAGCCTAAAAAACAATCCTAATAATAATAATAGGCTGTATAGTAGGAAGGCATATAGGTTTATTTTCGTTTTGTTACATTATTTAGGCTATATTTTCAAACGCGTCAAGTGTAGCCTACAAATAAAAACAAAAACATAAGAAAACACAATCTATTGAGTCAGCATAATAAAGCCGTTAAAGGGCCTGCTCACATATTGCGTCTTTTGCGCGCTCAAGTTCGTTATTTCAAATGTAGGCGTGCGTTATGCGCGCTCATAATGGAAGGCTCATAATCGTTTTTTCCAAGCGCGTCCGCGCCGCAGCAGCAGTGCAGCCAGCCACAGATGCGGTTCCCGAGTGATCTACGTGGTGCGCTAAACTGTGGTGCTGTTACAAAATAGCATTACAGCATTTAAAGTTGGGGATAAAACCATTGATAAAACATTGGCTAATTATATTTAGAATACAGTAATATATAACTGCTTATAAAGGAATAAATATCAAGGAGTAAATCAATGAAAATGTCTTTCTATTGGTAAAAAAAAAAATGCAACTGGTCGACCAATGAGAATGTCAGGCGACCAAGACGGCATCGACCGATTAGTCGACTAAACGACTAAAGTTGACAGCCCTATTGAAAATGCTATATAAAACCTTAATGGTGTTATAAAAAAAACTGTTAAATAAATAATGGTTTATTGTCATAAATTATAAATTTATTAAAAACATTTTTTTTACCTCTATTTGCATAAATGTAAATGTAGTACTTTTACATTTTATTGACATGGGAATTTGTACCATGAAATTGTTTATTAGCTGAATACATTAATAAATGATAATTGACATTGAACATAAATAAATATGGAGAAAAAGACACGATTGGTAGGAAACCATGCAGATACAATTTAAAAGTTCAAATTTATAGACATTTTAAGAAGGAAATAAAGTACCTGTTTAGAATGTGTTGACAGTCTGTGTAGCTGGATGTTTGAGCTCCAGAAAATCAATAATGAGGTGGATATTTGAACAATTACTCTAAATGTTCTTTACACATAGTAACAGTTATATTTAGATTATGCCATTTCATGCTGGTGTGGTTCTTTGTGTTAAAGAACCATCTTCTTTAATGGTGCAGTATAAAATAGATTTCACCTAAAAACATTGTCCTAAAAAAGAACTGTCCTAACCAGACACAATGTCATGTGATAAAAGGTATCTTTTTCATGTTCATCAGAGTTTTTTTCCTAACTAGCCGCAACGGCGATACGTGGAGAGTGACAGCGGACTGTTTCTATTCCTGCGACTCTCGACTCTCTAACCATTACTGCCACGACTGCCCTACAATCCCAATTCACCTCAGAACTTGAAAATAAATTAAAGGAAGCAAAAATGTTCAAACTGTGAACTCAGTGTGAACAAACAAGTGTAACCCATGACAGAAATTGTTTCAGCCATTCAGTACCGATTTTTAATGTTAAAAGGGTATAATATTTATGAATTTGATTATGTGCTTACTGCTTACTAATTTGTTTGCGAGTGCAGTGCGCTTGCAGAGAGAGCCTGCCTACACGCTTTTCTTATTGGCTGTGATTTTTGATTGATTTTGTAGTGTCTCGTAGTCATGTCTCATCTGATGTGGACAGACAAATTGCTTGTCGCTGGAATCTTATCGCATCGCGTCTGGTTAGGACACAGTGTACAGTAACACAAATCATGTCAACATAAAATGGTTCTTCAGGAAAATATTTTTCTAAAGAGAACTGTTACTATGTGCAAAGAACCTTTAAAGACCATCTTTTTTTTAAGGAGTAGTTCACTTTAAAACGATCATACGGATTCCACTTAGACTTATGTTAATAATGTGGCGTACTGCTGATATTTATGCTACGCCATGACGCACTACGCTACTTCTGACGTCATACGAAGTTGACTGCGAAGTTTGGCCGGAAGCTAGAATTTTATTTGGTAGCGTGCTAAATATTAATATTTTTCTTACACAAACTCATCATTTTGCTTCAGAAGGCCTTTATTAACCCCCCGGAGCCGTGTGGATTTCTTATATAATGGATGGATGCACTTTTTTTTTTAGCTTCAATCTGATGGTTGCAATCCACTTCCATTATAAAGCTCGGAAGCGTCACAGGGTGTTTATTAATATAACTCCGATTGTATTCGTCTGAAAGAAGAAAGTCATATACACTTAGGATGGCTTGAGGGTGAGTAAATCATGGGCTAATTTTCATTTTAAAGTGAACTACTCCTTTAATAGTGCAGTATATAATTGATTTGATCTAAAACCTCTTATACTGCAGAACAAAACGACAGACTATTTGAGTTTTGAGTTGTTTGTTTGAGCGAGTTTGTATGTGTGCACGCAGGTGTCTCAGCTGCGTCATGATCTCTCAATGAAGGATGAACTCCTGCAGTTCTACACAAGTGCTGCTGAGGAGAGTGATGGAGAGTCTGCTTCTACCACACCGTGAGTCCATATATTAGACAACCTATTAACTTGATACCTGTGCCATTGGCATGATTGATACCTCAAATTATGTGGATACTATTATTTTCTATTTTTGCCAGACAAATGTACAAATCTAGCATATTTCAGTGAGGATATTTCTGTGTACTGAAGGAGACACATCAGTCTGTGGTTTTTCTTCGCAGTATTCGCAGAAATGACTCGTCTTTCACGCTCCCAGATTACCTCCCTCTGGATTCACTGCAGAAGAAACTCAAGGACCTGGAGGAAGAGAACCTCAGCCTGCGATCAGAGGTGAGAGAGTGACCTCAGTATTCATATTCTTCCACCGCTCATATCAGTGTTTTGCATTATATTATTCAAAACAGCCTCCAATCAAACTTGTCAGGGTTCTAGGCATACAGTATCCAACTTCATTCTCAGATAAAGACATTTGAGAACATTATCTGTGTGCTTTAGTAAAATAAGAACTGCAATACCTTTATAATAAACTAAGTTTACATATCATAAGTTATGTTTAATGAAGTTTAGTTTTAAGTTATGTTAAAATAACTCATTAACTTAAACTTATGTTTTAAGTTTAGTTTGCATAAGCGCTCACTTAGATCTGTGAGAAAGGGAAAGGAAAAGTACATATACATTTAAAAGGAAAATATTTCATGTTGTCTTGTCTTTCAGTTAATATGTGGTCATAATAATTATATTAAAAAAACACAACTTTAGATTATAGAATTATAAAGTAAATTCATACGAAATTCACCAGATCTTCAGACTTTTTGTTTAGCTTTAGCAGCTTTTAGGGCTGGGCGGTATGACGATATAAAGTATAAAGTGGTGAGGTGACATTGTAAAAAGATTTTGCTATTTCGTGTATATCACGGTATGTAAATGTATCCGGGCCATTCCACCGAATGGGTGACATTTGCTTGTTGTATTTCTTCAAAATTAAACTTTATTTTTTATCTTTTTCAACATTGAATCTAATACTACACATATTTAACTATTCAAAATGTGTATTGGTCAATCTCAGGCAACTTTATTTACTTTTTTACAAGGTTTAAGCAGAAGATGGGCGCATGTTTTCTCAATCCTGTTACCGAAAACCATGTGCCATTTAAAAAGCAAGTTTAAAAGCATGTCAATTAATTCCTTTGTTTTCCCCACAAGAAAGTGTTTATTTTAAAGAAATTGTTGGTTATTTGTTCCAAAAATGTATATTTGTGACAATAAAATCACTATTAAGGCAAGGTGTATTTTAATAAAAAACACAAAGCCATTTTTTTCATTTTAAAGAAGACCAAAGCCTCAAGTTTATATATTTTTTAAACAATTTAATTGGTTAAATAATTGTATAAATGATGGGCCAAACAAAACTGATAAAAACAGTGATTTAATTTAATTTTTTTAGAAAAATGAAAAAAATAGTAACAGGACTGAAAGTAACAGGATTGAGTTTTCAAGCAAAAAGTTATCAAATACATGGCATATGGCCACATAGTACATGCTAATAGCATGAGGACACTGAGCCATTTCTAGTGCCTTTCCAAAAGTTAATATTTTTAAAATAAACAAATAAAATCTAAGAAAAAGTTTAGGTAACAGGACAGTATGTTGAGATTGACCTTCTCAGTCGTAGTTACAATTTCATCACATATACAGAAATTAAAATGAGAAGACTAACTTATGGTCTTCCCATTGCCTTCAGAAGATCCAGATGATGCAACTTACTGTTGAAAATGGTCTTGTGGATTATTCCCAGTTTTTCAGAGGGGGTAATGTGTTAGGGTAACAGGACTGAGTGAAAACCCGGGGACATGACTAAAATGTGTATTTTATCTCAAATATTAGATAAAATGTCTTTTTCTTTTTTCATTTTAAAGCAGATTGGATATAAAGTCACACAACAATAAAAAAAAATTCAGATTTCTGAAGGATTTGAATCATTATATTTCATTGTAAAGTTTAGAGATGGAGAGTGGGGACATGCAGAAAATGCAATTTTTTTGTGTTCTATGTAGTTTTTATCTAAGTTTTTAAATATACATTTTAAATTTGTAGGTAGCTTAATGTGCAGGACATTTTGCTTAATAATAAAATGTATTTTAGAGTTAATTTTCATGCAATTTTATACATATAATGTCCTGGGGACAGAAATGTCACCCTTTCGGTGGAATGGCTCATCCACTCAGCTCGAGACTGTTTAAAGTTACTGACACGTTAGAATGATAAAGAAATGACTGACACAGCCGAAGAGCATGCAATCCCAAATTGAGTTCTCTTTTGCGACCTCTACAGTCAAATCCATTAAAAAAAAAGTCAAAATGTATGAAAATGGTTTTTCCAACCATTCTTTCACACTTTAAGCCTAATGAATCTTGACATTGTCATCCTGGAATATGGCCATGATGTGTCTTCCTACACACTCCATCAATTAGGGTTAGAAGAACTGTTGCCAAATGAATTACATGCTAGAAACATAAAAATAATGCAATGCAATAATGATCCAATCATAGGCTCTTAAGCATTTGCCTATATTTAAATCCAAACATCGACTTTTTTTTTGGCCGGGCAGTGTATATTAAAAAAAATGATCGTATATAGTATATATGCAGTACTATATCATAATATGCAGTATGTCGTTATCACCCACCTTGTTGCTCTTTCTCACTGTAACTGTAACTGTATATCTGCAGTGACGTGTGTCGGGCATCTGACCAGCAGGCAGGTGGAATTCCTATGACTATGAATGACTATGACATCTACATCCACACTCACACAAGACCTATTCACACCCAAACATTTTAGAAAGTGAACCCAAATCTAAAGACATCACTGCATAACATTTCTCAGTGTATGTGATCCCCATTAAACTGGGCCGTGACATGAAAACAAAAAGCTTGTGTAAACTCCATAGCTTAGATTGTTTTTCTCTACAATATGGGCACTTAAGACATGTTCCTCTGACAAGTACCCTAAAACAAAAGAGCAGCCATGTAAAATGATACCTCCATTGTTTATTAAGACCGTTCTTTATTGTGTGTTTGTTTATAGGCAAATCACTTGGAGACAGAGACCATCTCGTATGAAGAAAAAGAACAACAGCTTGTAAATGATTGTGTTAAAGAGCTCAGTGAGTAGATCCATCTGTTACACCATCAAAGATCACATTCCCTAAACTGACATTACAACCCATCCTGTACTAGTTAAATTCATTACCTTATTGTTCCACTCTTGTAGTATAACAGTGCGGTTATTAAAGTTATGGACTGCAGATACCATGGGGTTAGTCTACTGTATAACTTGCCTTTAATGGGGATTAGGGACTTTCCACATTTTGTGTTTACCAAAGGTGTATTTGAATGTGACGTCTTACACATGAAAGCGTATCTCTTCACCCTTAGGAGATGCTAACATACAGCTCTCCAGCATTGCGGAAGAGCTGGCTAAGAAAACAGAGGATGCCTCTCGCCAGCAAGAGGAAATCACACACCTCCTCTCTCAGATCGTGGACCTGCAGAAAAAAGCCAAATCTGTGAGTTCTCCTCACTATAGCCAGTAGACACGATTAATACATGGTTCCCTGGAATACTTGTTTCTGATCGGTCAGTTGCGGCATCCTGCAGGCACCCTTTTTACACTTCTACATTAGGAACACAGTGGTCAACTATACAGCATGGTAAAGTTCTATAGAGTGCAACAGTGCCCTCCCCTTTTTCAGCGGCGCTGGTTCCCGAAGTATTTTTTTTAGGGCTGTCAAATGATTAATCACGATTAATCGCATCCAAAATAAAAGTTTGTGTTTACATAATATATATGTGTGTGTACTGTGTATAATTATTTTGTATATAAATGCACACATGTATATATATTTAAGAAAAATATGTAATTTATATATAAAATGTTTATATTTATATAAAATATACATTATATATAGGCTACATTCAGTCTATATACAGTATATACATGCAAATATTTCTTAAAGGGATACTCCACTTTTTTTGGAAATAGGCTCATTTTACAACTCCCCCAGAGTTAAACTGTTGAGTTTTACCGTTTTTGAATCCATTCAGCCGATCTCCGGTTCTGGCGGTACCACTTTTAGCATAGCTTAGCATACATCATTGAAGTGGACAAGACCATTTGCATTTCTAAAAAAAAAATGACCAAAGAGTTTCGATATTTTTCCTATTTAAAACTTGACTCTTCTGTAGTTACATCGTGCACTAAGACCGACGGAAAATGTAAAGTTGCGATTTTAGGAACTATACTCTCATTCCTGCGTAATAATCAAGAAACTTTACTGCCATACCATGAGTGCAGCAGGCGTAATGATATGACGCAGCGCCTGAAAATAGTTCCGTTGTGTTGACGGAAGGTGGCCTATTTTCAGGCGCTGCGTCATATCATTACGCCTGCTGCACTCATGGTACGGCAGTAAAGTTTCTTGATTATTACGCAGGAATGAGAGTATAGTTCCTAGCCATATCAGCCTAGAAAATCGCAACTTTACATTTTCCGTCGGTCTTAGTGCACGATGTAACTACAGAAGAGTCAAGTTTTAAATAGGAAAAATATCGAAACTCTTTGGTCATTTTTTTTTTAGAAATGCTAATGGTCTTGTCCACTTCAATGATGTATGCTAAGCTATGCTAAAAGTGGAACCGCCAGAACCGGAGATCGGCTGAATGGATTCAAAAACGGTAAAACTCAACAGTTTAACTCTGGGGGAGTTGTAAAATTAGCCTATTTCCCAAAAAAGTGGAGTATCCCTTTAAATACACATGCATGTGTGGGTATTTATGTATTAAAAATAATTATACACAGTACACACACATATTATGTAAACACAAACTTTTATTTTGGATGCGATTAATCGTTTGACAGCCCTAATTTTTTTCATTCATTTTTCCCATAGGGATTTAAAAATAGTCTAGGAGGTGAATCGCTACACTACAAACTTTGAATTGAAGCAAAAAAAGTTTTTAAAAATAAGAAAAAGACAAAGGTACAAGACTGTATTCTTTATGGTTTTAGGGCAAACAGGACAGGGGAAATTAGCGTGAGAGCACAAGTCCAAAAAAGCACAGAACGTTCTGCACATGATCTACTTACGACCCGCAAATTAAAGAACACAGCCGGATATTTCCATTATGACCATGGTTTAAGACATGCTTTTTTTAGGCGTAAATAATGGCGCAAATTCCAGTAAAATGACTAGAGCAAACCTTAGTAAATCCCCTTCCATAATTAATTTGATAAATATACTGACTAATAACATTTTCATTGCCATTAAAGTGAAATTACTAAACCTACGTAAGCCTTACTAAGCCTGGTAAAATACTCATTTAAAAGAAAACATGTCAGACGGACTCAGAGGTTTTGCATCTGAACTCCTCATATATAATCAGATCAACTCGATTATATTCATTCACAGTGTTTCATTGGAGTGGGCGGAGCTAAAGAGCTATTTTGGAGCTTGTTTTTTTTTTCATGATGCACCAACAGCATCATGGGTAATGTAGTTTTTCACCTGAAATTTCAATGTTAAACAAAATTATTTAAAAAATAAGCTGAATTAATGCGGGCTTACGGCTTCAGCAAAAGCAAATACCAAAGATGAACAACCTTTTACTTCCAGAACCTAATTGTTGCACTCTATAGAGATTCATAGCAAAATATTATTTTTGTGTTCCCATTTGCTTCAAATATAAAAGAAAAGAAAAAAAGAAAAAAAACACCATTGCGGTTTCACATTTTCCAAATTTTTCTGAAAGAGGAAAAATATATAAAGAGATGGATTACAGCAGACAGATGAAAAAATATATATTACTACCATAATAATATTAATATTATTTTAATATTATTTTATAGAATGATAATTTATTATTGATTTTTTTATTTTTTTATTAACTGGAAACGCTTTCTTTAGTGTAATTTAAGCTATTGTGTTCTGTGTTTATTGTGTTCTGTGTTTATACATAATATGAAATGTATTAATGAAATGTAATCTTGTTTTCTATAAAAGTTTCTAATTGGATCTCATTTCATTTAGCTTGTACTGTCAGTTATAAGCAGCACACTTATTCATGTGAAATGTTTGTTATTTTTCAGTATGCAGTAGAAAATGAAGAGCTCACACAGCATCTGGGAGCTGCTAAAGACGCCCAAAGAGCACTAACAGCAGAGGTAACATGCAAACACACAATGTGTACCAAAGTAACACATCTCTACCAGCATATTCGCAAACTGTAATTCAACTAAAACATTACCATTTAACAGTAATTATAAAAAAAATAGGTGTGAATTATTAGATTTGAATTGAATCCATGATGAACACTGATTAAATTATTTTTAGTGCTGTTTTTACCTGCTATAAGTCTCTTTATCTGTTTCTTTCTCTAGCTGAGGGAGCTGGAGGATAAGTATGCTGAGTGTATGGAGATGCTCCATGAAGCTCAGGAGGAACTGAAGAACTTCAGAAATAAAACGCTGCCTCTCAGTACACCGCGGCGATTCCACTCTCTCGGCCTCTTCCCCATGGTGAGAAACGGAAAACAAGAAAAAAGAACATTGTTATTTTATTAAAATTTGTATTCTTTCACATATCCATTTTTCGAAACATATCGATACTGAAATACCTGAAACGCTTCCAATACTCATTTCCCGTAGAATAGATTCACGAGACCAGCTGCGCTTTCTCGTTCTCCCATCTCTCTGACAGCGAGTTGACACACAAACCCGCCTCCCCTCACTCACTCGTTTGTGTTACACTTTGTTGGTGTTACAGGGCTTGAATTTCGGCTTGGGATTCCACGTATTGTGCATAATTTTCCCGTGCTCATTTAAAGTTGCTTTGAGTTCTTTTTCGCTACTTATTTCGCTTAAACAGTCAAATAGCCAGCAGCCATATCACCCTGTAGCCCAAGACTGGTTGCCCACTGAAGCTAAGCAGGGCTGAGCCTGGTCAGTATCTGGATGGGAGACCTCTTGGGAAAGCAGGTTTCTGCTGGAAGAGGTGTTAGTGAGGCCAGTAGGGGGCGCTCACCCTGTGGTCTGTGTGGGTCCTAACGCCTCAGTATAGTGACTGGGACACTATACTGTCAAAGAGCACCGTCCTTCGGATGAGACGTTAAACCGAGGTACTGACTCTCAATGGTCATTAAAAATCCCCAAAAAATTTGCCCATTTGCCTCTGTCCATCATGGCCTCCTAATCATCCTCATATTTACTGATTGACTTCATCACTCTGTCTCTTGTCCACCAGTAAGCTGGTGTGTGGTGGGCGTTCTGGCGCAATATGGCTGCCGTCGTATCATCCAGGTGGATGCTGCACATTGGTGGTGGTTGAGTACCTAGAAAAGCGCTATATAAATGTAATGAATTATTATTATTATTATTAAATACACACAAAATAAAATGTCAAAATGCCGGTCTTGGCGAGTATTCACGTAAACACAGTCAGATATGTTTTAAGTGAACGTATACAGTTGAGAAAGACGCATGTGTAACAGTATCATGAATCCGTGCGTCAGGTCTTAAAGTGACAGCAGCCTAATATACTGCTCCCCACGTATATTTATTTGTCAATGTTACCGGATGCAATTCATTCAAAATGCTTAACGCGTTAAAATAATTTACTGAACGAAAATAAAATACTGAAGCGTGTGAAATTGCATCACGTCACGCAGTTAGATGATCTTAGAAGTCAGGAGTTTATCACACTGAGCATCTACAATGGCTCAAGCACCTGTAACCCTGATTGGTGGACATTTCTATTCTAACCCTTTAACCCGAGCTCTGTCATATTCTGTGATTGTTTCTGAAGCGCGAGTCCTCACGCATCACACTGTGTGAAATACAGACTGAACGGAACGTCAAAACATCCCACCGCTGCATGGCCAGATGATAGGCAAATTTCGTTTCTCGGCTGGATAAGGCAAACCAACGTCTCGCTTGTAAAGTTTTGATGGATGAGGATTGTAATTAAGGTAAAGATGATTGCGTTGACGTACTTGTACAGTAAGCACGCGTGAGTCCGTTATATTGATGCGGAAACAAACCATGTATGTGCGCTCTCGATGTACTGATCGAACATTGTATTTATGCACAGACACATTTCAATACATTAACTTTGTTTCCACACACATTCAGGGTAATGTTTTGATTTGTCATGTGTATGTTGCTCTGTTTAGTAATTCTGAATGGATCAGTGTACTGTAATAGGTATATCCAGTCATATCAAGGCAGTTGGTTTAGGTTTGCAGCTGGTTCGGGATTGGAGCTTGACTTGTCTAAACTATAAAGAGGTTCTTGGCCGTTGCACTGTACACATACTATACACTGTGAATTCTGAAAAGTTTTTATCAGTAAGGTTTTTTTTTTATGGGTGCTTTGGTGTGCGTAAATTTGTAAATTATATGGAATCCTTATATAACTTGGTTATTTGGTGGAGGTCCAAGTGTCCCTTTTTAAAAAGACCTAAAAGCTTGCAGAAAATCGTTTTGTGAGAATCACCTGGTTTACCATTACTGGATATAACAAATGATGACAAAATAAACGTGTTAAACAAGATAAATGGTTTATGCTTAATTTCACGAAAAGTGTGCGATTAATCACGATTAATTGCACACTTATTGTGAAATTAAGCATATACTGTATATATATATATATACATAAAAATACAAATAATAATTTTTATTTACAAGATTATAAGACTACACATGGAGATGAGGTCATGTTACATCCCCGAAGCATATTACTTTTAAATGTATTGTTGTACAGCATACTGTTCCACATAGTACTTAGTGGTCAGTATACAGTGTGTCCTACACAGTAAGCAGGACACTAGTATGCGTTTGTGAGTCTTTGTCTGACTATAAATATTTGAACATTCTAAAAAATAAATACCCAAATAATGAAAAATACATACACTATCACTTGTATTCCCCTGGCTAACGGTGTGTTTGTGCTGTGTGTAACAGGACTCTTTAGCTGCTGAAATTGAAGGCACCATGAGGAAAGAGATTGAGATGTCTGATCCAGACGTAGAGGAACAAAGGTATGTTTGTGTGTCATTTCCTGTGTCCTGCCTGTATGTCTCATATTAAGTTATGGATTTGCATGCTGAGTCAAATTTAGATGAATATAAAATATATATTTGTATATTTCAAATACAAATCATTGTACCGTATGTTTAAAATGTTTTCCTGTAACATTTTCATCAGTTTCGCTTAGTTTGTAGTTTCAAATCCTCCAAGGGTGACATTGTAAGGCGTCTAATCTGCTTAAATGGGAAAAAGTGATTGTCTTCACTTTTTTTTTTTTCAGGTTGCACCCAAAACGTGTCTTCGAGACGGTGCGTAACATCAACCAGACGGTTCGGCAACGCTCCATGGGCCCGTCCCCTATGAACATCCCAGGGTCCAATCGGACGTCCTGTATAAACTCCAGGCGTTCTAGTTGTCTGAGCACGCCCCGATCGAGCATGTACGGAGGGGACGGGGTTGAAATGGACAACCGCACTAACAGTATGCTTCTGGAAACCCACTCACCTCAAGATGGGTAAGAGCATCAAACACGATTTTCCACCAAACGTTTTTGAAGCATATGATAGAAATGTGTTGTGCGTGTTTACTTAACTATAGTTTGGGGCAGATCTGTCCCCATATGTGAGCGAAATCTGGCAAAAACAATTTGTGGACATTCAGGGACATCTTTATATATAGTATGTGTGTGTGATATATATATATATATATATATATATATATATATATATACTATAGTTCAAAAGGTTGGTGTCAGTAAGATTTTTTAATGTTTTTTAAAAAGAAGTGTCTTATGCTCATCAATGCTACATTTATTTGATCAAAAATATAGTAAAAGCAGAAATATTGAGAAATATTACAAATATTAGAACAGCATTTAATGTATCTGAAATAGAATCTTAGAAGTCCTTTTTATCAATTTACTGCATCCTTGATAAATAAAAATATTAACTTCCTAAAAAAAAAAAAAACGTACTGACCCCAAACATTTGACCTTTTGTTGAGTATATACAATACCGGTAAAACGTTTGGAATAGATTTAATAATTGATAATTGAGCACCAGATCAGCAGATAAGATTGATTTCTGAAGGATCATGTGACACTAAAGACTTAATTATGCTGATAATATTTCACAATTTTACTGTTTTTACTGTATTTTGTTGTTGTCATATAAGTTACTTTTAATTTAAGGTTTAGGTTAGTCTATGGGTTTCTCTGTAGTAACTATAACTACTATGTTGGTTATTGATTCATCTTTGAAAACACTAATAATTTAATAACACTGTTCAATGTAATATTTAGTAAATCTCAAAATAAATATCAGGTTTTTTTTATACTGTATGTTATAATATTGTGACCCCAAAATTCACTCTTAGCACTTAAAAGTTGACATTAGTGTAACTTAAGTTTTAAAAAAGTATTAAATGGTGTCAAAATATAATTATATTATATTAAATTATAAATATAATTTACATTATATATTGCCAGTATACTGTAACTTGAAAATAATTATCAGCTATTTATCAATAATTATCAGTATTGATTAAAAAAAAAGATTGATTCTATTTATATTAAAACAATAGAAGTTGTTCCATTTAGGTAAATAATAATGTGTGTGTGTGGGGTTTTTCATTACACTCTTAAAAATAAAGGTTCCTAATTGGCTCCTATGGTTCCATGAAGAACCTTTAACATTCATGGAATATTTTCATTGCACAAAAGGTTTTTAAGTGTGGAAAAACGGTTCTTTAGATTAGGGGATCCCAAAATGATTCTTCTATGGCTAAAACCACAGAAAAAAAAGCCAAAAAATAACAACCTTTGGAACTTTTATTTATTATGAGATTAATTGACATTGGACCACATTGTATTGAGGTTATTTCTCCTGTAATATTTGTTCCAGCTCTAATGACTCCAACAGAAAGCCTGGCACGCCTGGCACACCCGGCTCCCAGGACCTGCAGGCGGCACTGCGTCGCCTTTCCCTTCGACGGGACAACTACCTGAGCGAGCGGCGTTTCTTTGAGGAGGAGCGCGAGCGTAAACTTAACGCCCTGGCAGTAGAGAAAAGCGAATTGTACGAGGACAGAGATGTTGGTAGTGGCAGTGAAGACGGCGGTCCTCTTACTCCGGCAGAAAGCATCATGTCTCTGGGCACCCTGCACTCGGTTTACTCCATCTACAGCGCCCGATCATACCTGCCCGAGAAACTCCAGATCGTCAAGCCTCTGGAAGGTGACCGAGCCAAAGCCAGGCCTTTCACCCTCTCACTGTTTGATGCTCTGTGGGCATTAATGCACCACAGTGCTGAGGATCTGTCTACACAACACTCCTTCTTTTTCAGACACACACAGCCTCGCTGCTGGTTTGAGATATAGGCCACGCACACACTGCAGTTCAATTTGGTTGTCAGTTCACCTTTTAGTGCTTTATCCTGTTCTGTACTGTTCTGAGTTCAGTCATTTATGGGAGTGGCAAGGACACATAATTGTAAGAGTTGTTACAATTTGGGTCATTCCTACAGTTTGGTGGATTTTGTGTTCCCATGAAACAATTAACACAACTTCATAATGATTAGTACCCAAGAATAACTTAAATAATTTGAAACACTGCAAATTCCCATGTCCCAAAACATGTTTTCTAAACTTTTTGAAGAATTTTAAGAATTACTATGTGCACGTATTCTCTTTGACATACAATACAATTTATTGTGATGCATATCTTTAAGCTGTGTTAAACCATTACCTGAGTTTATGTCCCTCAAACTCCAGTCCACCCTGTTATATTGTTGCGATTTACCCTTTAAAATCTGAAGCGTATACACTTTTCACTCTTTTCCTCATTTATAGCTGACTTATCTAATAGCATAAAACATAGCATGTTCACCCTGTTGTGTCAATTTATACTGGACATGAAAACGTTTTTTTAATATATTTTATATATCTTTTAAAATTCTTTCTAAATGGTAATCTTCTGCTTGCATGCTCTTTCTTGGCGAGTAATGGCCTTTATTAGCTTAAAACGTCCACCCTGTTACACATTGCATTGTAAATATGTAATGTAACGGGCTGAACAAGTTCCATAGAATGTGAAACGTTAATATTTGATCATGGTTATTAGGTTATACTAGCCTGAGATTGACCCCAGTGTGTTTTTTTTTTATGATAGACAGACATTTTCTCCCTCTGACAAGACTGAAAAATAATCGAATATTAAAAATGTTTTCAACAAACCTGCTCAGTCCAAAATCCACTGTAGGAATGACCCACTTACACAAATTCTATGCATTGTGCTGAACTGAACAACTAGTTGTTAATGATGTATTTAAATGCACATAAGTCTCTCTTCTGCATGTATGGTGCAAAAAACAAACAAAAAACAGGAAAAGAGGTATAAGCCATAACTCTTTTGTGTTGCCAGATCTTGTTAGATATAACAGCAAACAAGAACAAGCACATTGTAAGCCAAAATAAATCAAAATCCTTCAAATTGAATATATAACCATTCATTTTGCACCTTCCCAGTTTAATAAATCCATAACTTTGATAGCTTTATGAGCCATGCCCAAAACGCTTATAATAAGTGGACATGTCAACACTTTTAGAACATAGCGAGTCTTTGGTCGTTATAATATTACTTTGGTCAAAAATAGCGTTGATGCCAAACGCGTTGCTATGGTTACCTTCAATCACTCATTTCGGGAGGGAGTTGTGTTCAGCACACACATGGATCATTAGAGGATTTGCTCCCGTTTATAAATGCAGTTGTCAAGGCCTTAGACACATCCCACTTACCATTGTATAGAGAGAGTGAATACTGAGTCAGCAAACTGAAAAACTACCCACAATGCACTTTATGGTACATATTTTAAAAGACACATTTTAAATTGGTGTTGCTCGTTTACAAAGAAACCCAAAAACAAAGTTGATTGTATATCTTTCCCTTCTCGTTTTCGGTGGATCTTTTCAGTTTTATGCCAACAAAGAGGTGTTTGAATGCATTTAGTTGTATATAACAGAGCTACAGCTGATTGTAGTTTGTCATGTTATTTAAACTTAATCACAGCATGATTATACAGCTACTGTGGTGATCTTATAATTACATCTCTAGCGCCCCCTGCTGGTTATAGCTAATAGAGCTAAGCAGTCTGACATTGCCTGCCCAAAAGTAAAGCTTAGGAATTACAGAAAACTCTAAAGCATTTTCTTGAGCGATTCCTCTGTTTTCTTCTGATTTTCTTTACATATTTAAACATGTTTCAAAGGTACTAACAAGAAATCTGACAGATTAGCTCCTGAGGAATCGTATTTGACTTGAGCCCCTGTTTTCCCCATTGTGTTCGCCATTGTTTACCCCTACTGTCTCTCTTGTCAGTTTTCAGTTTGGATGTTTGAATTCCTTTTCTTACCTTTTTGTCTTTTAATGTGTTTATACCTTTCCAATAAACACAACTTTAATTTCCCCCTCCTCCTTTTTCTCTTTCTTTTCTTGCTTTAGGCTGTCCATAGTTAGCATGTCATGAAATTTAGCTCTGTGTAAACCTTAAGAGCTGTTTTACAGGGCACATATTAAATCGAGTATAGAAATAGCATATGTATTGTAATCAGAACTATAATCAGAAAGCAATTAAAATGACTCAACAAGTAAATTTTTTGAAAGAATATATAACTGTGATCACGACTGCTGTTAAATATACAGTAAATCTCCACATCTCGTTGCCTCTACAATATATCTATTTTAAAATTTTAAAAGTTCTCAGCATTGCAACCAATTGGTTTTCACACTTGGTATCACAGAGGTTTGCTTAAAACTCTCCTGGACTAGCCATTTAATCAGCTTATTTATATGACACATGCTCAATGATCATCCAATATTACTTTCTTATTTTTATATACATTTCTGAGGCAAGCAATCTCATGCTGCCTCTTTTCTCTTGGACTACAATGGATGCTACTTTTAAATCAATCAGACCGATCTGAAATTATTGTCCAATCGCTCTTATGTATCTCATGTCACACTTCCTGAATGCCACCTTGCGTTCATGATCTCAATATATATTTTGTGTGTTATGTGGCATTTGTTGTAGTTTGTATCTGATCTGTGCTCTTGTTTCCTCCGTTCCTCAGGTTCGGCCACTCTGCACGCATGGCAGCAGCTCGCGCAGCCACACCTGGGCGGCATCCTGGACACACGGCCCGGCGTCGTGACCAAGGGCTTCCGAACGCTGGAGCTGGACCTGGAGGAGGTGTACCAATTCACCGACCTGGAGGAAGATGAGTCAGGACAGCATTCCCAATCCGCCGTCTCTACCTCTTGCCTGGGCTCTATGCCTTGCTCGCCTGCTTTGCGACGACCTCGTGCCAACAATCCTGACAACCAGGAAGAGCAGCTCAGAGAAAATGGAGGGACCCCTGGAGTGGGGCTAGACCGAATGGAGGCTGGAGAGGAAGAGGTCTCATCTGGTGAGGGACCCTCATAACCTCACTAACCCTCCGGACAGGCTTTAGGGGGGTGGGATCAAAAAGCCTCTCTATAAAACAGACCGAAGCCCCAGTGGAGTACCCATAAGCCCCAGTTGTATTGTGCCTGTGAGGGTCTATAGGATGAGCTGGTTCTCTCCACACACCCACTGCACACCAACCACTACCTCACCCATGAAGACAGCTGCCCTGTTCTTTTGAGTATAGTCAATTTTTTAAAACATTTTACTGTCGTTCTACCTGTCATCTCTCTTGATCCTTGCGCTGAAAAATGAGAAATCAGTCTATGGAAACTCTAGAATACATCAAGTATTAGTTGAAATACTTTAAATATTTAAGTATCTATGATAAATAAAATACCACCAGCAGTACCACATTTCTTTATCACCTGCATGCCAGGGGTTACCTTTGGGTCATATTTACCCCTAATTCAAAAGTGAAAACATTTTATTATGTTTTTATTATTGTGACATTTGATTACTATTAAAAAATCCCTGCCCCCATTAGTATTACTACAGTAATGTCAACATTTGAGTTTGTAATGCTCATTGTTCAAAGAGGGATTCTCATCATGTCTTGACACTATTATAATTATTAGTAGTAGAAGTAGTAGTGCTGTCAAATCGACTAATTTCTATTACTAATCGCATCTAACATAGAAGTTTGTAAATATGTGTGTATGTGTATATATACACATATATTATATATTTACAGCCTTAATTATTATGATTATTATTATCAATAAAAGATAGTATAACATATACTGCCATGGTAAAATATAAATGTTTTATAATTCAATTATTATTAATTAAATCATAGGTCTACTTTAAGATACGTATGAATATGAGTCTAATAATAATAAGTGTGTGTTTCTAGACTTGATTCTCATTTTCAGCACTCGTTAAATTTCCAGTATCTTAAAAACCCTTCTCAGCTAAATCTCTTTTCTAACCTGCATTACCAGAACGCTGTGTCAGAAAGTTTAATGCCTGGTGGTGGGGAAACAACATTTATTTATTCACTCTCTCCACACACACGCATGCAAGTCCACTTGTCCCCTGGTAAACCTGTATGTGAGATTTAGGCAGGCGTCCAGCCCGAGGGCACAGAGTGTGATGTTTAATACTTAACTGCAGAACACATACACATGCCTTTAGCACACATCACACAGTCCCAACAGTCCCCAGCATGTAACATCCAGCTAGAGTTCTGAGTGTCTTTAAAGGATAATGTTACAGAGTTCTATTAAAAACGGGGAGGTGTGAGTCGCAGTCATGTGAGTGAAGAGACTCTGGACACTGGACAGAGGTCACATTGACACCACATGTAGCTACACAAACACACTCCACATGCTTTCAGAGTCAAGCTTGTCAGACACACACACATACTCCGACAGCCCCAGTTTATCTGGAGAATTATACACCGTGCTGACATACATGCTGTGTATATTGGTTTTGTTTTGTTTTGTGATTTAGTTTTTTAGTTTTTTTAGGGTGAACTATCCCTTTAATGACAATTGTTCTTTCTGCAGAGAATTATTGACAAATAATGCCAGCTGATAATTATGGACTTCACCGTTTGATCGTTCCTCTTTCCCACTTTTCTCTCCTGCTGTGTGAATCTATTTAAAACTGCATCAGGATGAATCATACCACCACAAACTCATGATTTGTAAGGAAATTTAACAAATCAAATTCTGCTGACACATTTTTGCAGTATACCACATTAGATTGCATTAGGTCTCCTCAGATCCTGAAGCAGTTTTAATTCCATCTCTGTGTTTGTTTGTGGTGTTGTGTGTACTGATGTTTGTCTCTCCTCTCTTGCTCTCCCCAGTGCATTTTCCTGGTAAATGTATGTCTCACACCAGCTCCACGTACACCTTCACCACCTGCAGGATTCTGCACCCTACAGATGAACTCACCAGAGTCACACCCAGGTAAATACAGTGTGGTCTTTTCATTATACCCTCGTAGCAACTATTGGTTCATAGATAATATCAGACACTTTTAACAAATACACTGCCATAAATATGTACAACAGCGTGTCACTGGGCAGTACCCTTAAAGTGCCCCTATTATGCTATTTTAAAGGTTCCTAATTTTGTTTTGGAGATCTCCTACAATAGGTGTACATGCATCCAATTTTCTCATAATACACATTCCACATCACCTCAGTTCCTCAAAGAGTCGGAAACTGGTTTGTTCGAGGATCCAGTCTCTCTAAACCCCTCCTTTCCGTGAGCCTACTCTGCTCTGATTGGCCAGACGGCCCAGTCTGTTGTAATTGGTCGACCGCTTGCAGCGCGTGTCGAAGCGCCCATTACCATATTTGAATTTCAGCTCCAGAGGCTTCCTCAGCCCTTTTATACACAGTATATTGAACGACTTCAAATTTTTTAAGTCAACATTTATGTGATTAAAGTTGAGTCTACGTCAACTAGTCATTGGTGACGTCATTAACCCTTTGACGCGTATGATCACACCAGTGCGGTCAGTCTAGGCTGGTCCCTGGAGCGTATGATCACACCGGTGCGATCAGTCTAGGCTGGTCCCTGGAGCGTATGATCACACTGGTGCGATCAGTCTAGGCTGGTCCCTGGAGCGTATGATCACACCGGTGCGATCAGTCTAGGCTGGTCCCTGGAGCGTATGATCACACCGGTGCGATCAGTCTAGGCTGGTCCCTGGAGTGTACGATCACACCGGTGCAATCAGTCTAGGCTGGTCCCTGGAGTGTACGATCACACCGGTGCGATCAGTCTAGGCTGGTCCCTGGAGCGTAAGATCACACCGGTGCGATCAGTCTAGGCTGGTCCCTGGAGCGTATGATCACACCGGTGCGATCAGTCTAGGCTGGTCCCTGGAGTGTACGATCACACCGGTGCAATCAGTCTAGGCTGGTCCCTGGAGTGTACGATCACACCGGTGCGATCAGTCTAGGCTGGTCCCTGGAGCGTAAGATCACACCGGTGCGATCAGTCTAGGCTGGTCCCTGGAGCGTATGATCACACCGGTGCGATCAGTCTAGGCTGGTCCCTGGAGTGTATGATCACACCGGTGCGATCAGTCTAGGCTGGTCCCTGGAGCGTATGATCACACCGGTGCGATCAGTCTAGGCTGGTCCCTGGAGCGTAAGATCACACCGGTGCGATCAGTCTAGGCTGGTCCCTGGAGCTTAAGATCACACCGGTGCGATCAGTCTAGGCTGGTCCCTGGAGCGTAAGATCACACCGGTGCGATCAGTCTAGGCTGGTCCCTGGAGCGTAAGATCACACCGGTGCGATCAGTCTAGGCTGATCCCTGGAGCGTATGATCACACCGGTGCGATCAGTCTAGGCTGGTCCCTGGAGTGTATGATCACACCGGTGCGATCAGTCTAGGCTGGTCCCTGGAGCGTAAGATCACACCGGTGCGATCAGTCTAGGCTGGTCCCTGGAGCGTAAGATCACACCGGTGCGATCAGTCTAGGCTGATCCCTGGAGCGTATGATCACACCGGTGCGATCAGTCTAGGCTGGTCCCTGGAGTGTATGATCACACCGGTGCGATCAGTCTAGGCTGGTCCCTGGAGCGTAAGATCACACCGGTGCGATCAGTCTAGGCTGGTCCCTGGAGCGTATGATCACACCGGTGCGATCAGTCTTGGCTGGTTTCTGGAGCGTAAGATCACACCGGTGTGATCAGTCTAGGCTGGTCCCTGGAGCGTAAGATCACACCGGTGCGATCAGTCTAGGCTGGTCCCTGGAGCGTAAGATCACACCGGTGCGATCAGTCTAGGCTGGTCCCTGGAGCGTATGATCAGACCGGTGCGATCAGTCTAGGCTGGTCCCTGGAGCGTATGATCAGACCGGTGCGATCAGTCTAGGCTGGTCCCTGGAGCGTAAGATCACACCGGTGCGATCAGTCTAGGCTGGTCCCTGGAGCGTAAGATCACACCGGTGCGATCAGTCTAGGCTGGTCCCTGGAGCGTATGATCAGACCGGTGCGATCAGTCTAGGCTGGTCCCTGGAGCGTATGATCAGACCGGTGCGATCAGTCTAGGCTGGTCCCTGGAGCGTAAGATCACACCGGTGCGATCAGTCTAGGCTGGTCCCTGGAGCGTAAGATCACACCGGTGCGATCAGTCTAGGCTGATCCCTGGAGCGTATGATCACACCGGTGCGATCAGTCTAGGCTGGTCCCTGGAGCGTATGATCACACCGGTGCGATCAGTCTAGGCTGGTCCCTGGAGCGTAAGATCACACCGGTGCGATCAGTCTAGGCTGGTCCCTGGAGCGTATGATCACACCGGTGCGATCAGTCTTGGCTGGTTTCTGGAGCGTAAGATCACACCGGTGCGATCAGTCTAGGCTGGTCCCTGGAGCGTAAGATCACACCGGTGCGATCAGTCTAGGCTGGTCCCTGGAGCGTATGATCACACCGGTGCGATCAGTCTAGGCTGGTCCCTGGAGCATAAGATCACACCGGTGCGATCAGTCTAGGCTGGTCCCTGGAGCGTATGATCAGACCGGTGCGATCAGTCTAGGCTGGTCCCTGGAGCGTATGATCAGACCGGTGCGATCAGTCTAGGCTGGTCCCTGGAGCGTAAGATCACACCGGTGCGATCAGTCTAGGCTGGTCCCTGGAGCGTAAGATCACACCGGTGCGATCAGTCTAGGCTGGTCCCTGGAGCGTATGATCAGACCGGTGCGATCAGTCTAGGCTGGTCCCTGGAGCGTATGATCAGACCGGTGCGATCAGTCTAGGCTGGTCCCTGGAGCGTAAGATCACACCGGTGCGATCAGTCTAGGCTGGTCCCTGGAGCGTAAGATCACACCGGTGCGATCAGTCTAGGCTGGTCCCTGGAGCGTATGATCACACCGGTGCGATCAGTCTAGGCTGGTCCCTGGAGCGTAAGATCACACCGGTGCGATCAGTCTAGGCTGGTCCCTGGAGCGTATGATCACACCGGTGTGATTAGAACGTTCAGTGCATCACGTGAACAACTGCTAAATTCAATGTGCTTTCGCGCTTTGGCTGGCGCTTAGCCAGAGACGGACGCTCTATTCAACTATTCAGTGTTTTCAACCACATAAGGTTTAATTTAGGTTTCAGACATTTAAATACACATAAGTACTAGCAAAACAATACATGTCTTTGGACGCGGCAATAACAATACATTTAATTATAAATTGACACTGTGTTTTATTCATATCAGATACACATTGTGTAGGTAACTATAACGTTTACTCTGTTCTTCTTCCACTTACTTTTATGTATTTCGGTAGAAGTGGATGAATTTGCGTGTTGTGAATCCGACAGATCCGATTCTCTGAACTGCGGCGCAAGCGCAGGTTTTACTGGATCAATTCCAGCCCGAGAACATAATTATATCATTAAATAATTATTATAAAGCTATTTTTGTTAAAAACTGCCTTATGTGCCTTTTAAATGTTGTGTACATTTTAAACGTGTACAAATCAGTTTTTATTTAGTGTTGATTAATACATATAATAAAAAAAATAGTACTTAAATGTGTTCGTTTGGTTTCTGTTGTTAATTTGAACCATTAATATTATACCAACTGACAGGATTCCCTGTATAGTTTACAGCTTTAGTCGTTTTTTTCTTTTTTTAACATGAGAAAAATTGATGTGTACTGTACCTGATATATATATATATACACAAATGAATCGATGTGGAATCAAACCAGTTGAGGATAATAATCAAATCAAATCAAGCGCTTGTGAATCGAAATCTAATCAAATCGAATTGTAACCCTAATTGTAACCCTTTTACCAAAATTTGGGACTTGTTTCAATAAACTTTACATTTATTGAAATCATTCAGGTTTTCCATAAAAGATCCAGTATAAATCCAGCATACAGAATCTTCAACAGTGTAACCTGCAATCTGAATTGAGGGTGCCAGAGAAAAGGCACCTGACAAATAGCTTGTCTCTATAGCAGTCATACTGTACAGCTGTGTGATTGGCTTCTACTGCAGGTCATATGACGAGGATGATGAGGCGGCTCTCTATCATGTTGTTCTGGTGACGGGCTTAGAGCACACTCACTGAGCAGCACCCCCTGTGGGTGAGGATGAATAGCATGACCTGCCTAGTCCTAATTAAAACTTATGTCATGGGAGTATGCTGTTCTCTAACCAAACACAAACCACTCTAATGTCCTAACTGACCTGTAGGATGTTTCTGAACTAACAACAGAACCTTTTTTGTGGGAGACTAAATGCAGTATGACGTGACTGATAATACAAACTGTGTATAAATCTATGGTTGTATATGTGTGTGTGTGTGTGTACTGTAAATCAATGGTAAAGTACAGAGTGCATGAGAGGACAAAATGTTAACATGCTGTTACTCTATAATCAAAAGAATTAGCCTTCAAAATTATAATGTCTAAATGCCATTGCATTAGATATTAAAATAGACCAATGGCGTTCCTGTAGCTCAAAGAGTAGAACAAGGTGCTATTAACGCCAAGGACATGGGTTCGATTTTCAGAGAATGCAAGAACTGATCAAAATGTATACTTTGAAAGTAATGCAAGTTGCTTTGGATAAGAGTATTTGCCAAAAAAATATACACTACCGTTCAAAAGTTTGGGGTCAGTGAGAATTTTATTTTTATTTTTTGGAGGAAAGAAATCAATACTTTTATTTATCAAGGAATAATTAATTTGATCGAAAGTGACAGTAAAGACATTTATAATGTTACAAAAGTCTTTTGAACTTCCTATTCATCAAAGAATCCTAAAACAAACAAAAAAACTGTACAACTGACAGACCAACAACTGTTTCAACATTGATAATAATAATAAATGTTTCTTGAGCATCAAATCCTCATATTATACTGATTTGTGAAGGATCATTTGACACTGAAGACACTGACACTGGTGATGCTGAAAATTCAGCTTTGATCACAGGAATAAATTACACTTTACTATATATTCACACAGAAAACAGCTGATTTACACTGGAATAATATTTAATACTATAACTGATTTTTTTTGTATTTTTAATCAAATAAGCGCAGCCATGGTTAGCAGAAGAGAATTCTTTTAAAAGTATTTAAAATCGTACCGACCCCAAACTTTTGAACAGTAGTGTATAATACCAATTGGTTTAATATATTTTAAAGTCCTTTTATGCATTGAAATTCATATTGGGGCTGCATAATTATTTAAAATAAAACTAAATTCGGGATATGGCTTCGTGCAAAAATCAAACCGCAAAGACCGCAATTTAATTAAGTAAATATATGTGCTGTAAATAAATTCTGCTTTAATGAAATCCTGCCCAAATCATGCAGCCGTAATTCACTTAGTATTGTGGCTTTTAGTTTTGGGGCCACAATAAACTGTATTCTATACAAAAGAAAATCTAAACTCTCTCAATCCAAAACGTACATGTCCCAGTTATGTTGCAAACACTAACCAATTTTTTCTAGTGAGCAAAATGTTCCTGAATTGGATTGAATATTTCAGTTTGATTAATCGTGTTCACAGAGTTACCATTGCATGGTTTGCCTTGTGGCTTATACAGCCAGATAATGCAAACTAACCGAGTGTTTCTTTCTCAGTCTTGTGTCTGGTCCATCACTGACGACCTGCGTGATGTCCAGCAGCAGTCTGCGCTCAACCCCTGTGTCCACCCCCTGCACGCCTCGTCGCCTCAGCCTGGCGGAGAGTTTCACCAACCTCCGCGACTCAACCAAGACCACCAGTACCTCTTTGGGCCTTGTGCGCCTCCTACAAGAGAGAGGTATATCTGCTGCTGTCTATAACCCTCTCAGCTGGGACCGGGCGGATCGAGCCCCTCCACCAGACCCCTGCTCATCACACACTGCCCACCCCTTACACACCTGTCCAGACACTCTCCCTTCCACCCCTCCAAACTCCCCCAGCAAGTCCAAACCCACCAGACCTGTGCTCCCTGTAGACTACAGCCCCTCAGACCCCCCCTACGAAACCTTCCTGGCTTCACGGCCAGCCAGCTCGATTCTAAAGGAAGTGCGGGAGGCGGACGAAAGGGCTCAAACAGATACACAGAGTCAGACTGAAGTCAGTGTGCAGAATCTGAGACTTGTGGACAAGGTAAAGAAGTTTAGCCTGGCTCCCAGAACATTGGCCCCAGGACCGCCATTCGGAGCCCACGCTGTTGTGACCTCCCCTATCGGGGGACTGCCAGTGCTGAACTCAGGGATGAGAAGAAACCGCAGTTACCCAGCTATGGTTGGGGCTAGTATGGCGATGAAGGGCGCAGGGCCTCCCAGTGAGGACCTGCTATTGGTCCATGGGCCACCAAGACAAACTAGCCTCAATGAAAAGTGAATGTCGTCCCCTTTTGCCTTTTATTTGTTTAAATTTGCATTGATACAGTATATCATCCTTGCGACAACTCGAGTGCCTGTTATTAAGATGATATTTGTATAGATTATTTTGTTATAACAGTTGATATAACAACCTCTTTTTTTGTCTACTTCTCTCCGTCTGACCAACATATACAGTACAATTCATTCAGCATTGTCACAAGCTTTTGTCGTCGTGTGACAATTTGCACATGCTGGCTGTGAGAAAATGTAGCATACAAACAGAGCAGAAAATTCATGCCCCAAAATGATTTCCAGTTTGAATTTAAAAACTACTTTTTTTTTTTTTTTGAATCTGGTCATCCGTGTGACATTTCAAGATTTGTTAGTTTTGTGATGCTAGCAAGAGCACTGATAGCACCTTAATGGTAACCCAGACATTGGTGAACAATGAAGTATTGTCATTTCTTATTTATTATTTGGTCTGATTTTTTAAAGGCCATGACGTACAGCTTTTTATCAAGCCCCTATAGTGTGCCGAAAATCTGCTTTTACTAAGTACAAATACCTTCACAGAAGCCTTTTCCATCTAGTCCAGGCAATTAAATAACTACAGCGTAATGTTCATTGTCTAAAATGGCTTAATGCATAATATTATAGTAATTACAGTGTAATAACACAGTTCAGTATTGCGACTCTCGGTAGAGGGCGCTGATGGCATGAATTGGTGATAATTTGCATATTAGCACAAACTCTCTGCTTTATACCTACTCAAGAGTTGACTGGCTGAAATACTTTAGAGAGAAACCGAGACCACAGGGCTGTGAAGGGGCTGCATAAAGAAAGTGCAGCAGGTTTAAACTTGAAACACAATCATGTTCATGTTGTCATCTTTTAATGTCCTTTTGTTGAAGACCAACATTATTTATATGTGTATTTGTATGGATGTACATGGCGTGTGGAATTGCAGTATCGAAGACTTGATGGGAAAACTGCACAAAACATTTCATTGGTCAAAAGGATGTCAGGTTAAACCGAAGAAAAAAAAATGCTGTACATCTGCTGTGGTTTTGGAACCTACTGACTGATATGTGTCGTATGTAAAGCAAGTGAAGTATGTATTGTGAGCTTTAAAGATTTCAAGGGTGCAATAGGAAGTCATTCATAGTGCCTGATGTTTTTTTTTTTCACAGACTGAATCATAATGGCTTCACCTGCCACAGTATGCACTGGCATAAATACTGTAACTATGTGTGATGTATTGACTTAACAATTGTTTTTACCTGACAATGCAGATTTTTGAAAGATATATTATATTTGATGCATTGTCGAGGATGCATATACAGTTGAAAGTGCATGAGTCGGTCTAAAGAAAAGTTCTTTTTCTTTTAGTTCAGGCAAATCAAATTTGTTAGGTGAAAATGTGTGCGTATTTGTGTGTGTGCGCATTTAATCATAGCATGACCTTTGTTGAATGTGTTTCAGAGGTATCTGCCATTCTGCCATGACTGATCATTGATTTCAATGGTGTTTATTTCATTAGAAAGGACATTTTACTTGCATATTGTAAATGGTAAATATGCAAAGAATTTAAACATGCTAACTTTTTATATATAAAAAAGCAAAAAAAAAACTAAACTTGAAGGGAAAAAAATGAGAAAATGGAAAAGCAATGACAACGTGACACTGGTGAAAAGTGGAGTTTTTGTTCATGAATTTTAGAAGCTCCCCTTTGCAGGATCAATAAACCTGTTGCGATAATTTTGTGTCGGTTGTCTTATTTTGATGCTATCAGGTCTTTGTTCAAGTTTATGTCCACAAATATCCGTTCTAAACATTCTTTAGAAAGCATGAGATGCTCTAGCCTTGTTGAGCACAAGAGGGAGTGTTTCACCAACATTGAGCATGCAGAACTCAGTGATCAAAGTCCAAAATATGCCAGTTCACGTTTCTGAATTTGTCATTGTTTGATCTTGTGCTGACAGAAACCCTTTAGGGCCCTTGTCTTGCAAATTTACATGGAGTAGATGCTTGTGACCAGACCACAGCTGACTGATCAACAGGCCACTTAGTGTTGAAGAGCACCGGCTATTTACTAACAATGTGATGATATTCAGATGACATTCTCTAGCTGAAGAGGGTTTCCATAGAAACACTGCAAGTTATTGTGAACTCATAAATTCAAGACTGTTCTTTTAAGATTGTTCTGAGTGGCCCAATATTTTCCTTCATAATCTTAAGATATGTACAACTTGATATTATGGAGCTGTATTGTACAGCTGTAGAAATGTAAAATGTATACATCCTTTATATATTCATAGGTATGTTTCTACAGTTACATTTTTACTATTTAAATTCAGACCTCTTAATCCAAACCCAACCAATTTCCAACTAAAAACTTTAACAGGCAAATAAAAGTACTTTGATAGTTTTGTAGTTAGAACATAAGTGGAATTTTAAGTTGTTGTTCGCTAAAAAATTGTATATTGATCCACTCCGTGAAGGCACACATTCAAACACATACATATCTCATTATTTTTCTCTATGGAGGAACTGTTTTTTTACAAACATTAATTTTGAAATCACAGACCTACTGTGAGCTCCAAGGATGGTATGTGTTTATGCTGAAGACATCAGCCTGCATCATTTCAACTTCATTTTTATAATTGTTGCCCACTGATAGGAAAATGCAAAGAAACCATACTTAATTTCCAGTGCAATTTCGCTTTAAAATCCGAAAGCACCCCCTACATTATAAAAATATTCACCGTTACTGAGTGAGTGAAATAAACAAGAGTGAGTCGTAGTTGTGTTTTTGGCTGTTCTACTGCACGTTTTGTTTAGTTTTCCAATTGTAAGTTGGTTGGAAAAGGAAATGGATGATTATCCACTAAATTAAAATACCACTTGCACCCTACAGCATATATTACATGGTTCTCTGGAATACTTTAGTGGTCTGATATTTCTTGATAACAACCACCCACATAGCAGACCACTCAAGATTAAGGCTGAATCCAAAATCGCCCCCGAAACCCTCAATCACAATTCCCTACGTTAGTCCAGTATTACAGTTCACTTGAAGGAGTGAATGAAAACAAGTGAGCGAATTCGGATCGCCGTTGCGCGTACATCAGTTGTACACTCGTTATTGCGATGCAATGTGGGATTGAATGAGTGCACTCAATAAAGTCCACTATGGTTTCGGACACCACTACAAATTACTGTCCCCTCAAGTAATGCTAAAGTAATGCTATTTGAGGGTATAGGAGGTCGATTTCGGATTCAACCTACTCTCTCCTTCCAGTCCTATGCAAAATGCACGTATTCCTCAAACAGTTGTCTAAGTGAACCTTTTTAGGGGGTTAGTTTTATGGGACAGAAAATAATAAGTCAATGGAAGGTCTCTGTCCCTTGTATATATAGTGTGTGGAGGTGGGGGGCACTAGATAGTTTGAAATTGGTTAACAAGTTATGTAGCCTAGGCTTTGAATAATGTAAATGTGCATAAAGGTTTGTGAGAAATGTTGGCACCTTGTGGCAGGATTCTGTGGAATGTTCACATTATGATGTCATTGTAGCACAACTTAGTATAAAAGTGGTGGAAAACTGTTATTCTGTGTAGCCTGTTAGGAGTTGATTGAAAGCTAAAAGAGAATTGATATAGAGTTGATATTTGAGTATAAAGTCAAATACATTCACAGGGATTTTTACTACCCCAACTGATCAAGCGATGGATAACATCGGAAGGGACATTGAAAGCAGTCGTTCTCTGTTTCATGAGAAACTAAAGAACTGGTTTCCAAATTTCCATGGTAGGAACACCAAAAATAAGGATCATCTGTGGATATTTCACAACATGTGAACGTATATTTTATTTAGCCAATGAATAATATGCTAAATTTAAAAATGTAATAACATTTTCTGCATTTGCCCTTTTAGTAAAACTATCAGCTGAGGAGAATGCGGAGTTCAGGAGGAAGCTCCATGTCTGGTTTCCTGACTTTAAGGGTAAGAACTTTAGCCAGAGCTGCAACTACAACAGATATTGTTTTCTCGTAATGTTGAATATGTAGTTGCATTCACTTGTTATGCGGTAAATAACTACCAATTGTCTATAATGAGTTTGTAATTCTTTTAAAAGTAGCTGAATCTAAACCCTCAGAAGAAGAGAAGCTTGAGTTTAAGAAAAATATCCAGGTCTGGTTTCCTGACTTCCAAGAATTTCAGCCAGGACTGCAACCTAAATAAAGTTTTCTCTTAATGTTGAATATGTGGTTACATACACAACATGTTTGGCAGTAAATTAATGCCACAAATTTTCCACATTTGTGTGTATGGATGGGCACTGAAACATACGATATGGACATATTGACAACAATTACTCAAAAACGTACTCATACTTTGAATTGGGGATTTGAACAAACCCCAGAACCCTAAGAACTAAATCTCAGTGTACAACTCTACGTCATAATTTCTGCCAAATAATCTGTCAATTTGTGGCATTCAGTCATCATAATACATTATTCCAGTCATCATAATTAAACTAAATTAAGTCATTGGGTCAAAAGAGTAAGTGAATTGTAAGTTAATTACATCAGATCTTTCCTTAGTTTTATCTAATATGCTGTTATTATAAAGGAAATTTGAAGATGATGGACAAGACGGTAAGTGCCATTTTAGTGCCAGTCTAATTGCTAAGCATATACTGTTCTGCAGGCCTGGTTTTGTTCACCAAGAGAATTTTAAGGTTACCTTACCTGTGATCAATAAGGCAAAGCCAAACTCTTTAGTATCAGTCAGCTGATACTAGTTGAGTCAGTGAAAAGACTTCAAAGATGCATATGTCTATGTATGAGCGAGGGGAAAATAAGAGAGTTGGCTAGTTGGCTCAGACAATGCATCTACATTGCCAGAACACATTTAATTGCCCTGGTTGCAAACCTTTTCATGTTCGGCACTGTGTGTGTAAGCGAGCATTTATTGGTTCACTTTATATTGTCTAACAGAATGAAATCTCTTTCACTAAGGCACACCTGTGGCATAATGGCTCTTTTTGTTTGGTGTAGCCCTTCATTTGCTCGCAATCATCAGCCTACGATTCATCCATTATGTGCTAACTCAAGTGTTTTGCGCAATAAACCATGGAGCGTTGTCTCCCCATCTTACTGTCTGCATGTGTTTCTCTCTCCGTTTCTCACCCTGTTCTCTTCTACAGCAGAATCGGGTATTATTGCCTGAACTCTAATCTGTCCCTCGAGCAATGGGAAGAGAATTGGATTCGAAGGCTACTCGTGGCACTAGTGCTGTAATGCTATAGCCATTCAGCTTTCAAATAAGAGAAAGCTTTCATAATAAGATCATTAACAGTAATCCGTTAGCTTGGTCCCTCAACAGCACACAAATGGCTTGACTGAGCTGTGGTGGATTCAGCTGAGATGGGGATTGGAAGCTACATACTAATAAAAGCTGATATGGATGTAGTGATACGCTGTTTCTTTGCTAGATCAAGAAACACTACAATGGACAAATGGCCTCAGCTGCAATTTTCTTCTTGTTTTTCAGTATTTGTATATGTTGCTGTTGTTTAATATTCCAAAAATGCATTTTTTAATGCAATTTCTCTGCCTCAAAAAAAAAAAAAAAAAAAAATCTGCTTTTTAATTGTTTACACCACACAATGAAGTACAAGAGCCGTGAGAGTTCGGATTAGTGAGTTAAGGCAATGATTTATTCATAGACATCTGTGATATGTCTGAGGACAAAATCATATATACATGAGTTATGAGAATAAAAGCAGTAGAGACTACATTCTCACTCTGTTTTTTTCCTGCAAAATAAATGTATATAGATGGACGGTATTGATATATTGCATCATCTCCATTGTACAAACAAATTTACATCAGACCGAGCTCAGACTGTGATTGATTGACATTAAAATGAGTGACTCTGTACAGATGACTGGCTAATCAGGTTGATTCATGTCAGTGGTTGAATGGGTCTTATGAGGAGTATTCGTACTCTTCTGCGCTCCGTCGGCCAAAATCCATCCATCCCAGGTAATCTCTGTCCTTTATTCTGTGAGTGGAGCCCATGGACCTGCTATTCGGAGAGGGACTTCTGCGGTATGTACCTGCATGGAAGGACAAGGACAATATGAATGACTATAATGTATGCCTGTGAGTTCTGATCAAATGGCACGATCATTGTTTATACAGTATAGCATAATATGCAGGAAGCACGATTGATAAAAAGCTCTATAAATATAAAATAAAGCCATTTGAAAGAGAAATTTCACCTTTGGTGGAGATGATTCTGGCCAGTAGTTCAGTCAAGCTGCTGCGGGGTTCTTCGTCATCCTCTTGTTTCGACAGAAGGCTCAGTTGTCCACTGGACGGCGCTGCACGGGTGTGGCGTGTGTGTTTCGCTATGGTCCCCAGATCAGACTGAACTCCATCTTCTGAATGTGTCGGGAGAGAAAGGCAGCTGCTGGTGGAGAGGGCAGCCAGCAGCACGCACACACAGATTCCAGTGTTCATGGCTGAAACATACACGCACATGTTAGAGCTTTGATATTGCTTTTTAAACCTATTACATACATTTTATGTTAAGGCTAGTGAGCTGCTTTTTAAATGATTTTACCTTAAAATCACCAAACTAATTAATAATGACTGCTAAAATAAAACTCCTGCCTCAACCCCAAAATACTAAATCCTACACATTTATGGACAAAACAAAAGTGAGTACATTTGTATTAAAAATCTGATTACAAATTGCAATGGACTAAATGCAATTTGTAATCGGGGTAGATCTAAACTCTTTGTTTTTCTGTTTAGTACACATGGTTCAAATAAAACCCATTTCCCCAAGATGTCTGTCTTATTTGCTTTCTGGGTTCCAACATTTTACTTAACCACTTTTTTCATTCATCATTGTCAAACAATGAAGTGGTTCAGACTGGAAAAATTGTGGTTGAGGAAAAAATAAACCTAACTGGATTCAAGCCAAGAAGCATCAGCAATAGGAATTTTAAATGGATCCAATTTCTCAATTATTATAACAAAATAGAAACTGCATCCCTAGTGAATCTCATTCACTCACTTCACATCTTCTTTGTTTTCATTAAAATCTACAAATCAAATGCCAAAATTTTAGGACATGCCACACGAGCAGACATTTGAAATATTTCACAATTATATTTTACACAATGACGTGTTAAAAAAAAGAAAGAAATGATTTCACACAATAAATGCAACCGCCGGTGTAAGCATGCAACACCACATTCAAAACTAAGACAAAAAAATTGAGATCGTACCTTCAGGTGAAACTCTGGCAGAGAGGAGGAGGAGAGAGAGAGAGATGGAGAACACACGCTGACTGCAGAACAAGTGTGCTTGCACAACTTCGCTGCACTGTGCAAGAGAGGCCCTTAAATAGCGCTCTGAGTGGGCTGGCTCTGTTTGACCCACGTAGTGACAGGCGCAATCCCACTGTCTGTGTATATGAATGAGGTTGTGTATTTGCGCAAGCTTGACGCAGATCCGAGAGCAGCAAGGTATTCTCACAGGATACAGATTGTGACATTGTCACTCAAGGGGGCTGAGGGATCTCCGGAGGTCACCATCCTAATTACACATATGCACACACCTCCAGAACAACTGAGTTTCCTCCTCCCTTTACCCATTAGAGTCCATCCCTCTTTGGCCATGGACCACAGGATGCACATTTTGATGTTATGGATACTGATGTCTTTATTGTGCACTGCACTGTGTTTGACACTTATTCCAGTGACTCTTAGCTATTTTTACCTCAGTAACCAGATTCTAAATAGGACATGCAAGTGACGACCCACCTCAGTACAAATAATTTGTATCATACAAAAGCAAACAAAAAGGCCTTGTAATTAATATTTATAACATCAATATAATAGTAGTTAAATTAATAAATCATAATTAATCAATTATTTGATGGTCACACTTTATTTTAGGTTCCAAATCTCACTATTAACTGACTTTTGCGTCATTGAACTCTTAATTACTGATTATTAATAGATAGGTAGTTTCTATAGTTATTGGGTAAGATATTGGGGATGTAGAATATGGTCATGCAGAAGAAGGTATTAATATGTGCTTTATACGTACCGAAACAGCCAATATCATAATATGCACAATAAGCAACTGGTTAATAGTGAGAATTGGACCCTAAACTATGCCAAAAATATTTGGTCACACTTTAGATCAGGGTCCAATTCTCACTATTAACTAACTATCAACCCAGACTTTTGCCTCAAATAACACATAATTACTGCTTATTTATAGTTAGTAAGGTAGTTGTTAAGTTTAGGAATTGGGTAGGATTAAGGGTTGTAGAATATGGTCATACAGAATAAGGCACTAATATGTGCTTTATAAGTACTAATAAACAGCCAATATGATAGTAATATGCATGCTAATAAGCAACTAGTTAATAGTTTTGATCATGGTTTTAGATGATAAATACATGTCTGGCAATTTGTTCATAATGCCTTGATTATAAGATGCTTCTTTTTTCCATTTTGGTAAACAGACCCTGTTCCCCATACACTTTCATAGCATGGAATGTGTCGATTTGAAAATCCTGCCATTATTGTTGAATCACGGAAGCTACACCAGTAACTTTTGCCTAGAGAGTTATTAATTAAACATGTGTCATGTGTCAGACAGAGAGAAACACAGGCATATAAGAATAAGGCTATATGAGAGGAGGTCATTCCAGATTTCTCTGTTCCCCATCTGTTCTTCTCATGCCATCATGCTAGCTGTAAATGGTTTCTGGGTTTCTCCTTCCTTTCCCCCATCATCTCTATGTTTCTCCTTCCTCTCACCCCGTCTTTATGTTTCTCTGAGGTGGTACAGTAAGATTTGAGCTTATATACATCACAGAGAGACTTACAACTTCCTTGTAAGGTAGAAAAACAAGTTGCCTATGTTTAAAGATGGAATGTATACCTTATGCACATGGTACAATCCACTTTCTACATTAAGAAACTATTTCTTATACATCTGTGATACATTTGCATCAGTTGAAACATTCCTTTAACATATACACATTTAATGTATCATCATCATTGGAACATCTCTCTCAGTGAACGTGGCATTGCACACACACCTCTAAGCAAAACATAACTCTACCAGCTCTCTGCTCAGCACACCTGTACAAACATGCTCTGACTTCACAAAATACATTATGAAACAATTATGAAAATGAATAAAGAAAAATAAAACTAAAAAATAACATTAAACAGTGTTTTTAAGTCTTCAGAATGCAATACTACATCTGTAGCATATGCGAGATAATGGAACAGAAACTGAATAAAACATTAAAGAGAAGAAAGAAGAAGAGAAAGCGCTCATTAAATTTGTCCGACTCTGCCGATCCTTTGCTCATTGAATGCAGAACACCCATGAGAAAATAAGGCACAGTTCTCCACAAGACTTCAGGCAACCACTTCCTGTCTTCGAGAGGATTGGCTCCATCATAGGGATGCAGGAAAACACAGGATAGGCTGGTTCACAAGCTTATATCTTCTGTGAGCTTAGGAATTACTTCTGCCTGACAGATGTTTAACAGCACTATTTCAACTGGGTGTCCAAATAGTTTATACTCACTTTATATATATTTCAACTAAGCTATGAATTAGGCTATTTAAAAAAAAAAAAAAAATTGTATATGGTCTATTAATGTATCATACAGTTTATAAACTATTAATTAACTATAAACTAATAGTTTGCAAATGATTTGTAAGTACTTTACTCTATACTTATTGTAAAGTGTTACCGAGTTTTCAGTATTTAAAAATATTAGTTTTATTAGCTACAAACTCCACGTCTAATACTCTGCTCAGAAATATTTGGTTAAACTATTTATTGTCAGTGAATGACGCATGTAATCGTGAGTCATAAAATGGAAAGGAGGCTACGTTTCAAGTCTCAATGAGGCTGTGTCTCTTTTTAAAGTGCAGTTCTGTGTGTTTTCATCGTGGGTTTGATGGGGACTTGATTACCAACTCCTCAACGTGTGTATATAAACATCCACTTGTGTTTGAGAGTCTAGACTCTACAAAGCAAATGAACAATGATTTATAATGATCAGTTATGATGGTTTTCTCTTGAGGGATTATTAGAACAAATGTATAACATCATAACAGGCTACTCTTTTTGAAGTTATGGGTGGATTTAAATTACAAGTTGATTTTAGTACTAGAAACTGGAATCATGTCTAAAATATATCTTACAGTTCATTGAGAGTTGGTTCAAAGATAGATGGTTGGTATGTTTTTTATTTTCCAGGTGGGAACAACACTGAATGAATATTCTGAAGTGTTCGCACTGAAGCCATCTTCTGCAAAGAACAACCATTCTGCAGCCCAGATGTCAGGCAAACTGTGTTGAGCATCAGGATAACTTCCAACATCCACTGTTAATGTTTTAATTTGTCTGTAGGAATGAAAAAGAAAATAGTCTTACACAGTCTTATTCTCACAGCTGTAAACATGGGGTCTGGGAAGAAATAAACTCTCAGAATATCTTTTGTACAATGTGGTTTATTCATTTACTATTGATTGTTGTATACATTGCAGTTTTTATAACACTGTCTTTCCATTTAAACCGATCAGCTTTAAAGGCCATTGTATTGTTTTGCTATAGCCTTCCTGAAATGATGTGTATGTGTAGTTAGGATCATCTCCATAACCTGACACCAAATGCACAAGTTATAATAATAATTTTCTACTATCATTATCCATAGTCAAGTCACCTTTATTTATTTAGCGCTTTGTACAATACAGATTGTTTAAAAGCAGCTTTACAGTGATAAACAGGAAATAAATCATTCAACGATGCAAACAATTAAATTCAGCTGTAAAGCAGCTCTAAAAAGACAATAGTAAACAGTCAATATTCAGTTGAAATCAGTTCAGTGTTGATTCAGTTCGGTTCCATGGCCATGTAAAGTTCATCAATTGTGGAATGAGTTCAATTTGTCTATAAAGCAGCTCTGGAGAAAACAGTGATGTCATCATCCAGCTCAGTTCAGTTCTCATAGTGTCAGTGCAGGCAAATCAATAATATTGTTGAATATTAAGTGTCCCCAATAAGCAAAACAAAAGGCGACAGTGGCAAAGATCCCAAACTCCATCTTACAGAAATGGAGTAAAAAACCTTGGGAGAAACCAGGCTAGTCGGGGGGTCCAGTTCTTTTCTGGCCAGACAATTGAACAATGGTGGGGTTTGTGGAATGATTGTGGATTGACAATAATTCAGAATATTTCATCTAGTTCCTTCTGCTTGATGATCGGGATATATTACGGCAACATTTGGTGGGAGGGGAGTTGAAGCTGGCCATTAGGTGTGCAGAGTACTTGTCTTCACTGAGGATCTGTGCTGATGGCTGTCTACTTGAAGAGGTCTTCACAGGGGATCTCTCTCTAGGGCTCATCTAGTTGTTATGGTCACTGCGCTGTTGTGGTCATCTCCATGTTCAGGCCCACCATCTGGTGTGGATATGGACCAGATTCGGCTACCTACGGTATCCTCAGGATAAGAATGTTGATGCCATTCCCAGGTTCCGGTTGACCTAATTTTTACAGCTTAACAATCCTTTAAGGGATTTGAATTATTGAAATGTGATAGATTGTTATGTATAAAGAGAAAGGTTTTTAATCTAGATTTAAATCGACAGAGTGTTATACTGTATATTATATTTATATTACACGTTTATATAACTTTGTTCCAAACCTTTAACCTCTAAATACTAAATAAGTTTTCTTCATAAAATGATTCACACACTTCTCAAACAGTGCAAAAGAGCTATTGTCTTTCTGATAATTGCCTCTTGGCTTTGGTTAACCTGTGGTCAAGGTTGCAGGCCTCTAAAAGCATCTCCTCTCAGCTTTTCAACAGAACAACAACTGCATAATGAATAGCAATGAGCTTCAGTCCTACAGAGCAACCAGCGTTCAACACTCCAAAACAATCTCCGCAAAAACAGGGCAACATGATTCATTAAATAATCCAGTGGCAGAGTCCATCATTTGGAGTGGGTATGAGGACGCTGGCGTACGAGTGTAGCAATTACTTTGAGTGTGTGAGTCAGAGAAACTGCGGCCTCATTGTCACCACCCGCCCTCTTGCCACAGGGATCCCTCGGGCTTCTGGATGCATGTCAATGGGCAAAGTATGAGGGCTATCAGGAAGACTAGATCTTCATGGGCATGGAAGCACACCAGAAGAGAGCAGTTCTAATGATGATAGTGAGGACATGACTGATTAATCAACAGTGTAAACAAGCATACCAAATGATTGTTGGAAACAGTCAGAATGCTAAAAAAAATACCAAAATATAATTCTAAATGCTTGTTCACACCAACTATAACG